ATTTGATCTTGAAATTTTTCTTTTATTCTCTAGGAATTTTTCATTTTATATTTTCCCAAAATTCTACTCCAGTATAATTTACAAGTACTTTTTGCTAACCCAGAAAGCCTAGTATAAGAAATAGGCATACTTTAAAAAAACTATTTATAAGCAGATGATTTTTTTCATGTCTGACAATGAGTTATTTAGTAGCTTGATGAGAATCATAGTATTCATAGTTTTAGTTATACCTTTATTTTTTAATGTGCTGACTATAATATACTAAAAAATAGTTTTCTTCATGGGTAGTTTTTTAAAAATCAGGATCTGAGATGGGGCAGAGGGGCATGTGCTGGCTTCTCTCTTTTCTTCTCATTCTGGGTCTCTCAACTGCCCTGTGTCTGTGCAGCATGTCCTCTGTTTGCTAGCAGCAGATACTGGTTAAAAAAAAAAAACGATCAGTGGGTTATCTGAGTCTGTTTCTGTCTTGACAGTGGGTTTTTTTTTTCTTTGTGTATCTCAGAATTTTTTTATTGAATGCCAGACATCTTGCATAGAACAGTAGAGACTGAAGTAAATAGTATTTATGCCTGCAAACAGGCATGCCTCTTCATCTGTCAGAGCGTTGAGTCAGTTTAGTCAGGGGTTGAGCTAGGATTTGGTTTTGTCGTTGCCATGGTTATCACCAGCTTCAAATTTTTATACAGTTATCTTGTGCTTAGGGTGGGGGCTGGGTTGCTGGAGGGTTTTTCTCAGTGTTCCTGCTCCCCGCTCAGTTTTCTGCCTTCCCTGTGCAGCTGTGCCGCAGAGGGGAGTCACCCTCTCTGCTCTTGCCCCCTCCCCTAGCAGTAGACTGCTATTGCTTATTCCTTAGTGCTTGCTGAGCTGGGGATGGGTGGTAGGAGGGGTTCTCTTGTCTAGATCTAGCCTTGGTCTTAAGCAGGCTCAGTGTGACTGGAGCTTGGGGATGGAGCATTTCTGCTCCTTTTCCCCCACGGTACTGTGTATCTGTTGCAGGTCTTGTGGGGAAGTATCCTGGCCTTTCCCTAGCTGGATTGGTATAGGTTACTGGGGTCAGGACTGTTTCTTGCCATGTTTCCAGGGGTAGAAGTTTGTGTGGACATTTTTTTTTTCTTCTTCTTTTTCTCCAGATGCACTGGGCGTTTACCTGTGCCTTTTCTCCATGCCTGCACCCTCTGGGGAAGCTTTCTAGTCTGCTGCCCTGCTCCAGTCTTTCTTGGGAGCATCTGATAGGAGGTGCATGGAAAAGAGCCTGTGAATTGAGTGTGAATGCCCGGTGTGTCTGGATCTCCCCGGGTTTATACTGTCACATCTGCCCTAAGTTAGTGATGTTCTTTCTTTTTTTTTTTTGAGACAGGAGTCTCGCTTTGTTTGCCCGGCAAGAAGTGAAGTGCGTGGCGTCAGCCTAGATCCCACAGCACACCTTCAAACTCCTGCTCAAAGCACTCCTGCCTCAGCCTTCCAAGTAGCTGGGACTAGGCATTCGCCACGATTGCCGGCTAATTTGTTTATAGGGTTGGATTTAAATTTCTCTCTATTATGGTAGAGACGGGTCTCACTCTTGCTCAGGGCTGGTGTTGAACTCCTGACCTGAGCAATCCGCCCGCCTCGGCCTCCAGAAAGTTGATAGCTGATTGTTTTACTTGCTTGCCTTCTCTCGTTCTGCCACAGGGGAAACCAGTGGGGGTTGGTAGGAAAACTGATCCCTGATTCAGGGCACTTGGTTATCCAGTCTTCTCTTGCTTAGTGCTTTCAGCTTTTTTAAGTGGAAGCGAACTCATGCATTTAGTTTAAAAGGCAATGAATAAACCAGCCATCAGAGGACTTGTTACACGAAATAAATCGTCAATTATTTGCTATTCTTGGATGCTATACGGGAGTATTTATATGGGTAGTAGTCATTGAGTTGCTAAAAGTGAGAGTTGAAATTATATATTGATCGGTGTTGGAGTGTCTTTTTAAGTTTTTCTAATGGTCATTCATTTCTTTTCACATAATGTATGGGACCAATTTGTTTCTATTGTGCATAACAATTACCACAACTTTGAAGCTTAAAACAATTAACAAATTTTTTTATTTATAGCTGTAGGTCAGAAAAATCTGATTGTGGTTCTTCCCTGGGCTAAATCAAGGTGTGCAGTTCATTCTGGCAGCACTGTAGGGGATAATCTGTTTCTTTTCATTCAGCTTCAGAGGCACCTGTTTATTTAGCTGTGGCTCTTCCATCTTCAAACAACTGCAGGTTGCTTGAATTTCTCAGGTGCATCTTTTCTCTCTGTCTTGCTGCAGCTGGGAGGAATGGCTCTCAATTTAAGGTTTATTGATTAGGATTGGGCCACATAATAATCTGGGATATCTCCCATTCCTGAGGTCTTACCTTATCAACATCTGCGAAATCCTTTTTGCCATAAATTAATTATACAACAGGTTCTGGGATGATATGGTATCTTGGGGCCATTATTCTACTTACCATAGAACCAAACATCTTTCCAGAAGTACTATTTTACTAATTTAAAACTTGTGTGGTTTTAAGACTACAGGTATGATTTGAATTAATGCTGAGAAAATTATATAACTTATAGTTCTTTTTTTCTTAGTTTCAAACTCTTACCTGCAATTACCTGTTGAACGTATTTTCTTAGGTATTTTGTAAACACCTTTTTAGCTTTTGCTGTAACAAACCATTTCACAATTATTTATCATTGCTTGCATATCTGTGGGTCACTGACTGAGTCTGGGTTCAGGTGGATGTCTCTGATGATCTTGGCTGGACTTAATAGGTATCTGTGAGTTTAGAGGTCAGATGAGAATTGTCTAATGTATAGTAGCCTGGGGCTTTGTGGAGGCAGCTCTGTTCCTCGTGTCTCTTATCCTCCTTCCTACCTTTGGGTTAGCCTAGATGTGTTCTTCTAATGAAAATGTCAGAAATACAAACACAGAAGTGGAAACAATGAAACTTCTTATGGCCAAAGCTTAGAGTCGGGAAACTATCACTTCTGCTTTATTCTGTCAGCCAAAACTACTCACTTGGCCAAATCAAGGGGCTGGGAAGTATGAACTAAAGTAAAATTTTAAGGCTCACCCTTCCACCTACTGACTAAATGGACCCCTTCTTGGCCAAGGGAATATCCTAAAACTAAATTGTCTACCAGGAGGAAGGTCAAAACACGCCTTACCATGTCCCTGTTCCTTCTTAGGAACATCCTTTGTAACCTATTAACAGGCCTAAGAGTATGCAAGACAAACCTGTAGGTCCTCAATTTACACAACAAATCTATGTCTGGTGGCTTATCTATGGTAATAGCTCCTTATGTTGAAACATTCCAAGCCTTTAGACAAATTTTCATGTCTTTAACCAATTACAAGCCAAAGAATCTTTAAACCCACCTATAACCTGTAAGCCCCTGCTTTGAGATGGCTCACCTTTTCGGGCCAAACCAATGTATGCCTCCCACGTATTGATTTATGACTTTACCTGTAACCCTTGTCTCCCTGAAATGTATGAGACCGAACTGTAACCCAGTCACATGGAGTCTACTTGCTCAAGGCTTCTTGGGAGTGTCTCCAGGTCATGGTCCTCAATTTTGGCTCAGAATAAACTTCTTTCAAATATTTCAGAGTTTGGATTTTTCTATCCACAGAAATATACTTTTTAGTGGGAGGAACTGCAAAGTCACTTAGCAAAGGGGCTTGAATGGAGAAGGGGTGAAGAATTAAGACCAGTGATACAATCTACCCCACATGCAAACTCTGTATACCCCAACCTGGACTCATCTCTGTGACTACCTCCTTCACCAGAAACCTGTTTTGCTTTCTTTATTTCCAGTCTTAATCATACTACTCTGTGCCTAGTCACTGAAGCCAGAAGCCTAAGAAGTATTTTAGAGTCTTTTCTTTCTCCTTTCCCTGTCTTCAATATTTACTATGTAAATATTTCTCCAATCTGTTATCTTTTCCAGCCTTATTACCATCACTGCTCTGGTTCAGGTTCTCATATCTTCTTAAGAAGAAAGGGAGGGAATAGTCTCTTAATTGTCTCCAATGCTGCTTCCTTCAGATTTATCCCTTGTATTGTAGCTAGGATACTCTACCTAAAATACAGGTGTTATTCCTGCTCACTGACTGCTCATTGCCTCTAGAGAAGGCCCTCTGTGATCTAGATTTTCCAGCCTAATCTTCCACTCTTGCCTGCCTTCTACTTTACCCTTTTATTTTAGGAGTCAGCAAACTGTGGCCAATTTTAGAACATTTTTGTTGCCCTCCCAAAAAACCCCCATGCCCATCAGCCTTCACTCTCCATTCCCTCAACCTCCTCTGTCAGCCCTAGACAACTGCTAAATCTACTTTCAGTCTCTATAGACTTGCCTATTCTTGTTATTTTGTATAAATAGAAACATATCTGATCTTTTGTGACTGGCTGCTTTCACTTAGGGTTTATGTAGGTTGTAACATGTATCAGTATATCATTCCTTTTTATTGCTGACTAATATTCATTATAAGGATATGTCACATTTTATGTATCCATTCATCAGTTGATGGACATTGGGTTGTTTCTACTTTTTGGCTATTATGAATAATGCTACTATGAACATTTGTGTGCAAGTTTTTGTATGGACATATATTTTCACTTTTTGGGGGTATATATATATAGGTAAACTCTTCCTTATCCTTCAAGACTTGACTTTGAGGTAATTTCTTGCAGAACTTTTTCCTAGCCTCCTATACTGAATTAAATGTCTTTTCTGTAAGGTTTTGATAATGTTCTCATAGTATTTACCACATTTTATTAGCAGCATCAGTGCCTTATTCAGTTTATTCATGACTGCAAACAGTACAAAAGTTCACTTAATATTTGTTGAATTAGAAAAACTGTAAAGCAATCTATGCTTTTGAATTAAAATAAAAATTTTTAATTTTTTCTCTGCCTTATGTACATTAGCTTTTAAAAAAAAGTCTCAATACATATTGATATAACTGATCTTGAATTTATCTTTTTTAAGGCCTGCAAAGAAAACAAAAAGTGCTAAAGACAAAGCACCAGCTGAAAAAAAAGATGATATAGAGAAAATAAAGTCATACTCGTACATGGAAGGTGAACCTGAGGATGATGTCTATTTAAAACGGTTATACCCAAGGCAGATATATGATGTGGAAAAAGCTATTCACCTACTTAAGAAATTTCAAGTTCTTGACTTCACTAATCCAAAGCAAGGTGTTTTTCTTGATTTGACACTGGATATGGCACTGGGAAAGAAGGTACATACACTCAGTTAAAATAAGTTTGTGAACAGTGGCTATATGAATTAGTGTTTCTTAATTTTTAAAATTGTCTCTGTAAGTTTTAGAAAATCTGATGTTTTTTCTGTATTTTAGCATGAAAAAATTGTTTTTTAATTTTCCAAATAGAAAATATTTTGAAAACACTCTGGAGAGTTGATGAACACATATCTTCTATTTCCCGAAAGAGTCACTAGTATAAATTTCAACAAAAAGTAGTGTTAAGTTCCCTGAGATGTTACTGTAACTCTGGAAAATGACTTAAGCTTCCTGGGTGTCTTGTTATTCTCTATAAATAAGGGCTTTTTATTAGCTCAGTGTCTTTCAGATTTGTTCCTTAGAGTCCCAGGTTGAGACTAAGTTTGCATAGGTGGGGTTCCAGGGTCCTCTCTCTATTTCAACCAGAGCCCGTCTGCTTTATCTGTTTATATATTGGAGTTCTACTGAAGTCTATTGATTATAAAACTCTAAAAGCAGGGAAAACACTAAATTATTATTGAGGTCTATTATAGCCCTTAATTTTATAAGCTTCTTAAGAGATTTAATTTTTTTAGAAAATACATTTTAATTTTTATTCTGGGGATACCTTTTTTGGCCAAACTAGAAGTTGTAAGTTTTTGAATATAATTTAACAGCCTTAACAACAACAATAATAGAGCACCTAGGAGGAGGCAGTATGGTGTAGTGCTTCGGAGCATGGGTCCTGGAGTCAGATTACGTATGTAAGGACCTTCAGAATCCCTCTGTACCTTTTTGAGTTTGTGCTTCTTTGCTCTTTGACCTTGGGTTTATTGCCTAAACTCTAAATCTCAGGTTTTTCATCTCTATAAAGGGGGCTAAAATGTTTAGCTCATGTTACAGTGGGGATTAAATGAGATAATGCATGTAAAGGACTTAGTAAGTTCTTAATAACAACAGTCAGCATTTACTAAACTCTTTTCTGTGTACCAGCCACAATGCTAACTGCTTTGCATGAATTTTTTCATTTAATTCTATAATAATCTCAAAAGAGGAAGCTGAGGCACAGAAAATGAAGTAACTTGCTAAAGGTCATAGAATAGGGGCAGAGTTAAGATATAAACCGAAATCTGTCTCATTACTTGGTTCTCATTTATTAGAAATAGTTTATATCAGCCATGTTACAATTTTTATTTTATACTATAGTGTTCTTTTATTTTAAAAAATTTTGTAGTGTTCAAGATGATCACTTTCTCAGTCAGCTGTTAATGTCCTTTGTAACAAGGTCTTGAAGGACCACAAGCTTCATTTCATGTATGGAAGCCACTTGTAAACTAATGACATCAAAAAGATACTATTGTCTTCCTAAGGCATTTTTTTTTTTGTTCTTCACAGAGTTGCTTGTACAACAAGCCAGTGTGCTGCAGAGGATGCTATTATTATGATAGTTTATCAGTGAAAATTTTAGTGAAACTAGTTGTGACATGTTAATGACAAAGGAATGCCAGTCGATAAAACAAAGTTTCATGGCAGATATAAAGTGTGCTTAAGAATTTGTGCCTTTTTATCCGAAAAGAAATCCCCAGGACGATATCTCAACTCAAAGTTTTTCTAAAAATATTAATCTTTCAATCAGTTTTATTAGGGGACAATCCCTTTTTTCATTCTTCCAAACCTTAAGGCTACCCCCAGACTATGGAGGGTCTAGAACTTGTTTCCTTGTGAAGTCTCTCTAAGAGATCTGAGCCTTAGTTCTTGATAGGTCCCTAGTCAAAATGACTGACCAGATTGGTTCTGAGTCTGTACCTGTATTAGAATGCCTCAAATGCATGCCATTGTTTATTTTGGATTTTCAATTGACTTCCCAAGTACATCTGAAAGTGGTAGTGGTCCAGGTTGTTTCACCTTAGATCCACTCAGAAGAGCCGTTTATTTTTTGCAGTCTGTCTTGGATTTCGGGTTTACATTTCCTGGTTGTTTAGAGCCAATGATGGCAATTAGGGGTTACCTACTGGGCACATCAGCTGTCTGTTGTCTATTGTTCATTATGTTTAGCTGTATTCATGTCCTCCTTGATGGTGTTAGAAAATTACATGTTTTTTTAAGAAAATTCAAGGTAGCAAACATTTATTGACATTCATCAGATGGAAAGCATTGTATTAGATGCTGGGAAGATATAGATATGCAAACACACGCTTAAACTCATAATATTTGAGAGACTATGATGAATGACATAGAGATAGAAGCCAAGTGCCATGGGAGTATGAAGCTGGGAAGAAAGACTTAGATTTTTTATTATGGTTTCTTGAAAAATAAATTTAATCTTTTATGCATTAATATTGTAGTCAGTGAATACTTCTGGATCAACTAGTGTACATATGGTAGAATTAAAACACTAAAAACAAAACATGCCAGTTCTGGTTTTGATAGAATATGAGAAATATAGAAAAGATAAACTTTTCATAATTTTTCTCCTGTTGTATATTTAGAAAAAAGTGGAGCCATTTGCCAGTGTTCTTAGGTTACCATACCCATTCTCCTCAGAAATTAATAAAGTTGCTGTATTTACACGGGTGAGTAACTTTTGCCAACCATTTCTCTCTTTGTCTCTCTCTTTTTTAAGAAATCACAGTAATCAATGATGAGAACAACTGAATAAATAGAATTAGAGAAAATCTTAACATTCATCTAGTCTCATTTTCCCCATTTGGAGCTCAAAGCAGTTAGATTATTTATTTGAAGTTATGTCACTAGTTTGAGAAAGTGCTAACTTAGAATGTTAATCTCATCATTACTAGTCCATCACATTGTTTCTCATAAGAAATCAAAAGGAAGTGTGGAATTTATCCTACTATCTCCTTCCTATTCAAACTTCTTCCCCAAACAACAGTATGATTTTTGTAAAGCAATGGGACCACTTAGTGCTTCGGTGGCTCAGAAACTACTACTTTTAAAGATATGTAGTCTGGAAAGTCAAGAAAGTCAAGTATATAACAAATGTAATAATAAAGCACTTTGTCAGTCTTTTTGTATTATAAATATTGGTTTATTATATGTTTATGAATTTGTTTTATAATTACCTATAAACTAAATTTGTTTTGAATATATCTGGAAGCATTTAATTGAAAATTGTTATATTTTCAATTAAAAATAAAAACCGCAATTTTTATTATGAACTGTGATGTTATTTCTGATGAAATACTTGAAAGCAAACTATTTTAAAAATTGATATTTCAAACTATTGTGTTTTGGTAGAATGCATCAGAGGTTAAAATAGCAGAAGAAAATGGAGCTGCTTTTGCAGGAGGAACTAATCTGATTCAGAAGGTACAGTGTTGTTTTCATGTTCATTAGGTATAGAGATTGGTCTGTTATCTTTGCCATCCATTGCTTTATTACATGAGGAACATAACCACGAGGCTCAGATCCTGTGTGATAAATGTTTAGTAGGGCTTTATGAGAACAGGGAAACATTTTTCCTACTTTTTTCAGTTTCAAACTCAAGCTAAGAATAAACTATCCAGATAGTATCATATTGAATATACTTGATTTATATTATAATTTTTTTTGCTTCCTTTTTGTCTATGAGAGTTTTGTGGGTAGACTGGAAAGGGCAATATGACTCTGGTTTTGAATGAGAGATTTAAAATGAAATCCAAAGGTGGCACACATGGATATCTCTATTCATGTTTTGAAGATCAAATACTTGTTTTGCTTTTTTAGAGTGAAAGTATGATTCACTTAGTAGATGACAAAGTATTCAATCTGACCTCTATAATATGGTGCTTTTGGTTCCTCTTAACTTTTACCCCCTAGACAGTTCAGAGTGGTATAGGCTCAGCATGGTAGAGACAAATGATTATGTAGCCTGCCTTTGGAAAATAACAAAGAGTTTTTAGAGCCTGTTTGAAAACAAGAACAAAAAAATTTTTTTAAGAAGTTGGAAGAAGAGGCGTGGAGTTATTTTTGAAAACACAGAAGATTTTCCTAATATTCTCCAAAAGCTTCTCTTCTAAATATAATCATTGGATTATGGAATTTTGGGGGATGGGGAGAGACAAGAAAAAGTGACCTGAAAATTTATCCTTTGTCTCGTATTCATATTTCCATCTGGAGAACTTTTAACTGGGCTCATCCTTTGGGATATACAACAGTGCTTGTTTGTTTTGTTCCACCTTAAAAGTATTCTAAATTTGGGTGGGGATTTTGAATTTTTAACTGAGTCTCCGGAATGATTTCTGGGAGCAGAACTAGTAGAAAATAGGAAGAGATTATGCTTTAATAGGGGTTCTAGGTCAAATTCAGAGGATGTACACAGTTCTTTCTGATGTGTCATTAGTTTTAATTTTTAAAATTAAAATTTTTTTTAATTGTTAAAAAATAAACATACCACAAATGCTTGGGAATTTGGGAGTAGAGCTTGGTCTCTGGAATCAGAGAACTAATCTTATTAAATGTGTATACTATCTTCCATCTTATTTTTTTTCATTTTATTTTTTGAGACAGGGTCTCCCTCTGTCACACAGGTTAGAGTGCAGCAGTGTGATCATAGCTCATTGCAACCTCAGACTTCTGGACTCAAGCAATCCTCCTGGCTCCAGCCTCCTGAGTAGCTGGGCCTAAGCTACCACACCCAGCTAATTTTTACATTTTTTGTAGAAATAGGGTCTCACTGTTGCCCAAGCTGGTCTCGAACTCCTGGGCTCAAGCAATCCTCCTGCCTTGGCCTCTGAAAATGCTAGGATTACAGGTGTGAGCCACAGTGCCTGGCCCATCTATTTTCTTCCTGTAAGCACAAGACTATCTTGTAGAACTGTTATAGCCACTCCTCTGTTTCTCAAATGTTAAGTTAGAAATTACTTACTTCTCAAGAAAGAAATGGTAATTGAGCAGAATCTGTTATGCCACTGTATATTCAGAAAATGAAACATTTTAAAAAGTAAAGTAAATAAGGAAGCCAAACACATTTTGAAATTTTTTGGTATATGAAATATTATAAGTATAGAATTTCTTTTTAGGGCCTCAGTGGTGGTCTGTTTTTAATGGGAACATGCCGCCTGTAAATCATCATCATGAGTATATTCTTACAAGTTACCTTGCAAGAATTAGTTAAAGCTTGTCCATGTTATTTTTAGAAGGTATTCAGGTTATGAAGTAAATTCAGGACAATTTTGCAAATAGTATCATGCTGCAATTTTTAATGCATTATTGTATTTTCAAATTAATTTACTATTTCACTTTGCTCTTGTAAAATGTAAAGTAGGATGAATTTAGAGACCTTGTAGTGATATCTTACATAACACTTGTATTAAATTCATTTTCCTTTGTTTTGAAATATCATGGATATGCCTGCTTCTGAGAGATTTTAAAGTTTTTCATGTTTTTACTTGTCTCTCAGAGCATGATTTCCATTCACAGTTTTGTATCACTCCAAGATGTGATCTTAAGATTAGTTATAGTGTAACTTTTAAACATAATTTTAAACTTAAAGGAACATGTCAAAGAATTAATATTGGAAGGTCTTGGAATAGAAATCTCGCATACAGTTCTTTGACATTTCAAAATTGCCTCTGCTTTCATGTGTCCAGGGATGAACACCCTGGTTCTAGAACCATATTTCCTGTGTTTGAATTCTGGCTCTGCCTCTTATGAGGGCACAGGCTGATTGGTCCTCCCTGAGCCCTCAGTTTCCTTATTTGGAATGTGTGGTCAATGTCAGTACTTACTTTATAAGGTTATTTTGAAGACTGGATGAACTAAACCTTGTAAAATATTTAGCAGAATACTGGCACATGAGAAGTGCTCATTTCATGTAATTGTTATTGTTATGGAGAGCATATTATGTTATTTAAGGAGTAACAGGAAGATAAAATTCCATAATCACTGCTTAGTTTTGCTGGAGTTCAAGTTTTTAGGGTTCACTGTGTAGCCCCATCCCAAGGTTTTGACCAGCATATTGTGGTAAGATTTCATGCAAAAAGAATTATTGGTGAAATATTTGTTTCTAAGGCAGTATCATTCTAAAAAGTTGCTTGTTTTTATAATCAACAAAATTTTTAAGTATATCATAGTCGTATAATAATTATTTTGGTTGCTTGCCTGAATTAATCAAAAATGTTTTCTAAAAATTGAATATTAATAATAATCCCTTTGCTCTGAGAATGGAAATAAAGTATAGCTAATATACTATAAATGAACTTGTCTTTGATCACTCCCCCTCCTCTTTTATTTTTAGTTATTGGTGGCAAGGAAATTTTAGCTTCAGTTCTTTGTGAAAATAATTACAGATTCAGTTCTCTTGATGCTCTAAATTTAGGAAGCTAAATTAGGTTGCTAGTGAGTTTGGTAGCTAGTGCTTATTAATGTTACATGTGACTTATTGCAAAAATTTTAGCTTTAGTAGGTTTCTTTAGTTTTAAAGGACATATGAATTCAACAGTGGAATTGTGTGAGCCATGTGCACATCAGTGTGATGTTTATAACATTTTGCCTAGCACAACTCCATGGAAGAATTAAAATCATTAAGTATTTTTTTTTTTTTACAAAATCGATATAGCTGTTTTTAAAAGAAAACAGAAGAAAATATTTTGCTTCTGCTCAAGCACCTTGGAGGTGCCTTTTGGATCAAGGGAAAGTTTGAACCTCTATGGAGGGTGAAGGTGGGATACATTTTGGGCCTTGTATCTATTGCCAGAGAGCAAAGTGCCTTTACATTTTTTTAATTTATTTTATTAATTGACAAATAAAAATTGTATATGTTTTTTAAAAAAAGAAAATGTTTTGCTTTTGATGGTTTTCATAATTGGTAAATGTATTCATATGATCCTTTTGTTTGAAGAAAATAATTGTGCTTAATGTCTGTTGTCTGAATTGTAAGGGAAATTACTAAATTCTACTTTATTCTCAGAAGAATAAAGCTTTTCATTTAATCTAAGATTATCTTTTTTTTCTCATTTTCAGATTTTGGATGATGAAATTCATGTAGACTTTTATGTAGCTATTCCAGAAATAATGCCCGAGCTTAATCCATTGAAGAAGAAACTGAAAAAAAGATTTCCAAAGCAAACTCGAAGTAAGAGAGAATTCTTTGTATTATTTCAATATACTATGAAAAACTTTTATCTTAACTTTGTTCGGTTAGGAAACAAAGTTGTTAATACTTATGTAGAATAAATAGTATGTCTTGGTATTTGAGTTTTGTTTTATATGAGAACATGAGGATTGATTTTTTTCCTTTGGCATTAATATTGGTAATCCAATATAATTTGAAAATGTAGTTACTTTATAATAAGGGTTCTTTAAATTTAAATTATAGCCTAGCTCCAAATAAATACAATGTATTATCTACTAGGTATGTTATCATCACATTGTTTTATTGAATTTTATATTTCTTTATCAATTAATATGTATGCTCATTTATTTAAACATTCAACATATATGCGAATGCTGACTATGTGCATGGCTCTGCAGGTATTTTCCCTTAGGGAATTTTTCCATTATGGATATTTTCCCTTAAAGATATCTCATAGAGCTATAAGATAGCTACATAAAGAGCCATGTTATAAAGTGTGAAATATTAAATAATAAATTCACAAGGTGCTATGGGTGTTCAGTGGAGGAGGAGTTTACATATAGGTGGAGAATCAGGGGAAGGCATCATAAAGGAGGTGACATGTAGATATAAAGGAGGTGACATTAATTGGATGAATTGATTAAGGAGAATATGATTTTGAGTATGAGGAATGTATTAATCATTGGAGTAAGTCAGAAATTAGAGGCCAAGTATAAGAAATATCAATTAGTTCTCTTTGGCTGTAGGGAATGCCACCCCTATATTGAAATAGAAGAAGATAATGGAAAATGATGTTGGACAGGAAGCTCGATGCTATATTGAGAAGGACTTTTATTGCATATTCAAAAGTAATCCCTTAGAAGTTTTTGAGGTGGAAAGTGACATAATCTGTTCTTTAGAGCTTTAATTTGGCAAGAGTTCTTAAGATGTATTGGCATGAATTGAAACTAGAGGCAGGGAAACCAGTTAGTGTGTGATTGCAAGAGACTAATAAAGGTCTTTATAATGAGACTAGAGTGAAGAAGACAAATGTCAAAGATACTAGGACTTTGCAACTAAATGTTTAGGACTGGTAAGGGGGAGAAAGGGAAGAATCAAATGATGCTGAGATTTTTAAGCCTAGGGACTTTTCCTAATAAGCAGTATCATTAATGGATAGATTTGGGAAGAAAAGCAAGTGTCTGTTTTTTGTGTACTACTGTTAGCATTTACTGTTCATTAATATGCTGTCATACTGTTTAGTACTGAATTATATCACACTGTGATAGTGAAAAATAGTCATTGTTCCATTTGTATGTCCCTTATCTCCCAATTAGATTATAAGTTCCTCATAGGTAGTTACTTTCATTTACAGCTGAAGTGCTCCTGAGCGGTACTAAGCCACTGCTGGGATAATCCCTCAGAAGTGATGCGTGCTGAGGGTATGCTGTGCTCTCTGCGTAACGAGTTCCTCACATTGACTCATCCAGGGAAGACTTGCAAGAGGCACAGAGGGAGTGGTGTCTTTTTAGTGGCACATTCTTCATTGTATTTCTTCTTACCCTTCAAATACTTCACATTTTCTATGCACAGAATTAAAAGTTTTCAGATTAAGCTATGGTATGGTAGCATATTTTTAAAATACGTATTTTTGTGTATTAAATTTGTGTTAAAGTGATAATGACTAAGTCGTAGGAGGGTATAGTTATTTTTGGAGTTTCCTGTATGATCCTTTGAAATTCTTAATTTTTACTCTGATTCCATTTTTCTCCTTACTATTTTTAGTTGCATCTCTTTTTCCGTCCTAGTAGAGGACAAAGTGACATTAGAATCCAATAAATTTTCAGTTTTTCATTCTTTTCTCATGCTAGTTTGTATAACCATTGTGTAGTAGTGAGCTACTTCGAACTGTGTCAGTTGTTATGATATTGTTTCCACTGCTAAATCTTACTGCTATCTAGCTCTTTCACTTTCTTTATGGTAAAGGAGGTCAGGTATATTCTATGCAAGGTACGTAAAAGTTCTTAAGTCTCAAGACTATGCTGTTAGCTTTTGTCATAGATTATTCTATAGATTTTATTTTAATATGTCATCTGTGTTTTTAAAGTATGTTAAGTATCATCATTGCATATACTTATTTATTAGTTATCTGTAATAGTGCAACAACATTACTACAAATTTAGTGCCTTAAAACAGCACACATTTATTATCTCACCATTTCTGTGTGTCAGGAATAGATGTTAGCTGAGCTGGGTGCTCTGCTTACAGATCTCACAAAGCTCCAGTCAGTGTGTTGGTTGGGGCTCTGGTCTCATCTGAGACATGACTGGGGATGGTTCTGCTTCCAGACTCAAATGGGTGTTGGCAGAGTTTGGTTCCTTGTAGGTTGCTAGACAAAGGGCTTCTGTTTTTTTTTTCTTGCTGGCTGTCAGCCTGAGGCTGTTTTCAGCTTCTTGCCCTGCGGCCCTCTGTATGGCAGCCCACAACATTGTAGCTTACCTCTTCAGAGCCAATAAGGGATAGAGTCTCCTCCAAGACAGGCATCATAGTTTTATGTAATGTAATCATGCACAAATAATCATTCTGCTTCTTGGTTAGAAGCAAGTTGTAGGTCTTATTCACACTTAATGGAGGGGATCATATGAGAGCATGAACACCAGGAAATGGGGATCTTTAGGGGGCTACCCTAAAGTCCATCTGCCACAACTTATTTGCTGCATTTTCACATGGGATACACATTTGTCTTATTCCATAATTTCTGCTACTTATTTAGATGTAGTGATAATTTTGAATTTTTGTTTTTCTAACCAGATTCCATTGGCCGTGACATCCCCAAAATGCTTGAACTATTTAAAAATGGACATGAAATTAAGGTAGATGAAGAAAGGGAGAACTTTCTGGAGACCAGGATAGCAACAGTAAGTTATGATGGGAGTTATCAAATAACCCTCTTTTTTCTTTTTTGTTCAAGTAATTCATTAATAATTTATAATATGCCAGTCATTTGAACTTGTTCTTGGCGCTAGCATTAGGAGTGGCACTAAATACACACATAGATAATTAAAAAAAAATTTTTTTTTTAATGTAGGGTCTTGCTATATCGCTCAGGCTAGTCTCAAACTTCTGGCCTTAAGCAGTTCTCCTGCCTTGGCTCACCAAAGTGCTAGGATTATAGGTGTGAGCCACCGTGCCCAGCCAATTTTTTTATTCTGTAGATTAAACTCAAATTTTAATGGTACTTGTAAATTCCTTACAGAGTTATGTGCTACCTACTGACATTTACTTGTACTTTGCCTTATTTATCTATTTTGTGTATGTATTTTTTGTTCTCTTATTTTTTGCTTATACTTTAGTGGAATTGAATAACTTGTTTTATTTTAATGGATTGTGTCTGATTATCTCTGTGTTTTGAAAATTATTTGCTTTTAGAAGATGCAAAGCCATTTTTAGGACACTAATACAGATGTCTAATTTATAGGAGTTTTTAAATATATACTCATTAGAAATATTAAAGTTATTTATACTAAAGAATCTCTAAAGTGCCTTTTAACATAGGTAATTTTTTCCTATTCAGTAACTTTAAGAATAAGAGTAATATTGTTAGCAAAATTTAAACAGTGCCTACCTAGTGTCAGGTGCTATTCTAAATGCTTTTCATATATTCTTTTAATACTCAACCCTATGAGAGGTAAAATCATCACCCCCATTTTATAGATGAAGGCATGGAAGCCCAGAGAAGTTAAATAGCTTTTCTGAGTTTTCATAGCTACTATAAGGCAGAACAGATATTTGAACCTTGGCAGTTTCCTCAAGAGTCCAGGCTCTTTGCCCCTATATCATCTTGCTTATGGCTGGAATTATTTGAGTAGCAGTTATTCAATAATCAAATAATCCTCTTTGTCTTCCCATCTTACTTTTAAAAGGAATTCTTCATCATAGCCAACAGCTAGTAGTCCAAGCACATTGAGCTGTGTCCACTATAGATCATCAAAAATGTAGAAAAAGTTAGGTGTTTTTTTTGTTTTGGAGACAAGATTTTGTTGTCTTGTCCAGGCTGGCCTTGAACTCCTCCTGGGCTTAAGCTATCCTCCCGCCTCAGCCTCCTGAGTAGCAGGGACTGTAGGTGTACATCACTACACCTGGCTTCTCAGCTAGTTTTATGGTAAAAAGCTTGCTTTTAGAAAGGTAGCAAAACAAGTTAATCCAGTCAGAGATTGGGAAACCTCTCTTTGCTATCATTACTGTTAAAGCTCACTTCCAATTTATTTTACTCTGAGCTCTGCTATAATCTGATGTTGGAATTTTCTTGTTCCCAAAAGGTCCATGGCAGTGCTTTTTGTTTCTTAGGGTTGACAACATTGTAATCTAAACATCAAACAAACAAAAAAAAACCAAAATAGAAATTTTAAGAGCCTGTTCTGGAACTATAGATACTTGAGTTTGGATACCTGTTCTGTTACTTATGACCTCGCAGACGTTAACCAAGTTTCTTAATGGTGTCATGTCTCAAATTTCCTCATCTATAAAATGTGTATAAAAATGCCTATTTCTTAGATATGACACCAAAAGCATGATCCATAAAAGAAATTGCCCTTTATAAAACTTAAAAGCTTCTGCTCTTTAAAAGATGCTTTCAAGGGAACAAAAAGACAAATTACAGACTGGTAAAGAATATTTGAAAGTCATATACCCGATTAATTTAGAATATATTAAAATTTTAAAACTCCATAATAAAACTGCCCAATTTAAAAATTGGCAAAAGATTTGAACACATTTCACCAAGAAGATATACCGATGACAAACATATGAGAAGGTGCCCATCATCTTTAGTTGTTAGGAAATGTAGATGAGAACCACAATGAGCTATCACTACACATCTGTTGGAATGGATAAAATTAAAAAGACTGGCCATAAAGTGTTGTGAGGATGTGGAGGGACTGGAACACTACTGATAGTGTCTGTGAGCGTGTTAAATGATGCAACCTCCATGGCAAACCATTTGGCAGTTTCTTAAATTGAGTATCCACCTACTGTAATATGATCCTACGATTCCACTTTTAGATAATTTACCCAGGAGAAATAAAAACATAAGGCCATACAAAGATTTTGTAAGCAAGTGTTCATATGAGATTTATTTGTAATAGCCCAGAACTGGAAAAATTCCAAATGTTCATCACAGATGAATATATAAACAAAGATATTCTTTAGTGATAAAAACAAAACAAAACTCTTGATACATACAGTATTGGTGGATTTCAAAATGATTATGCTGAGTGAAAGAAGTTGGAAAAAAGGAGTACATCTTGTATGATTCTATTTATGTACAATTCTGACAAATGTGAAGTAATGTATAGTGACAGAAAGCAGACCAGTGGTTGCCTTGGGGACAAAAGTGTGTGGGGAAGGGCAGGAAGGAGGAATTTCAAAGGGGCATGATGAATTTTGGGAGTAATTGATATGTTTGTTATCCTGACCTGGTGATGATTTCATGAGTGTATAGGTAGTGTATACGTATGTCAAAGCTTAATAAATTGTCCACTTTAAGAATGTGCTGTATATCCAATGCAATACTATTTAGCAATAAAAATGTAACAGACTACAGTTACATGGAACATGATGAACCTCGAAAACATTATGCCCAGGGAAAGAAG